ACCCACCCACCCATGACGGTCGTCCTCCGCGCTCCTGCTTCCGGTGCCCTCGATTCCTGGCGCTAAGTGGGTGGCAGGTCGAGAGAAGGCCTTTTTGTCGCCATGGCACCGGAAATGCTGGCCTGCCTCGCGGGGGAGGGGCTGGGCGAGAGGGACTCACAAGAGGACGGTGCTCTCAAAGCAGATGTCCGTCAGCGTCCGGTCGACCAGAGCCATCTCGGTGTCATAGATCTCTGTGCCAATCTGCAGCAGGCAAAATACGGCACATCGGTGCAGATCTGCCGAGAAAAGAGTGATGTTGCTGTAGATTTTCCGGGCTGTGTGGCCGCCCGTGGTCTTGGCGTGGTAGGACCTGACGTTTCGCCAGCAGCTGTGACTGGCATCCTCAGAGGTATAACACAGAAAGGTGGAGCACTCTCTGTGTCAAGGTGAGATGCTTCATTGGGCATCGGCCAGCTGGCACTTCGGTTAACAGGGGCCTTTGCCCCCGAGAGTCAGAGAGATCACGGCTGCTTTCTCCCAGCTTGGCAACAAGCGCTGAACATTGGCTGACCCCCCACCCCAGAGGCTTCTGGTGGGCTGTCAATACTTTGTTCTTTCTGTATGTTTAAATGTTATTGCTGTGGTCATCTGCACTGAGCACTCTGAATACTGCAATGAGAACATAAAGGCCTTTAAAGCCCTACACGGCCTGGGACCATCACGCCTACAGGACCGCCCCTCCCCACGGAGAGCTTCACCCTCTTCTGATCCACACCTCCTGGGGATCCCTGGCCCCAGAGACGCCCGCTTAGCCACAGCCACCCAAGGTCAGGGCCCTGCAGGGCCTATTACACTTCCGCAGGGCCTGTAGAACGGAGCCGTTCTGCCAGGCTTTTGGCTGAGGTGGGGGACATTCAACCATTCTGGCCTCCCCTGCTTATGACTCCTTCCCAGTGTCTTGCTGTTTTAAATAATACTACTGGGCACTGGAGTTTTCTGGGGTACCTATATTAACCTGATATGAGGGATAGGGCAGGGTATAAATATCATCATCTTCTTCAGGGGCCATTTCCTGCCGGAACATGCCGGAACAGCGCTCTGGCAGTCAGGAGCCCAGGGGCAGGGCCCCCCGCTGCCTGGGGGGGATTTAAATACCTTTCTTTCCCTTCCCCAGATCAGGCAGGGAACCCAGGCCTGTCTGCCTGCCTGCTCGTCCCTCCTCCAGCCAGCCTGCCTGCCGCAGCGGGTTGGCTGGGGAGGGGAAGGGGAGGTGAGCAGACATGCCCCCCTTTTCCCCAGAGCCTCTCCACTTTTTGTGGAGAAACTCGGGGAAGTGGGGGGGGGGGATTTAAATGCCTTTCTTTCCCTTCCCCGAGGCATTCTAAAGATGCCTGGGTTCCCTCCCCTTCATCAGGAGGTGTGGCATATGCAAATGAGTTATGGAAATGAGCTGCTGCACTGCTTTTTCTACGAAATCGCCCCTGATGACGATGATAACAACAATATTTTGAGGTATATTTTCCCACCTTAATATTTTTTTTCCCTGAGAGTTGCAAAGCTTTGTCCTGGTTGGGCGAGAGGTAGTTCCTGATGCCACAGATGCTCACCAGTCAGTGCTGTGCAGAACAGCAGCTTCCGCTGCAAACCGGAGCCCTGTTCCATTCTCCCCCTCCCCCCCCTGTTTGACGCAGAAAGAAAGCACTTTGTTTGAGCCAAACTTAGTCAGAACAGCCCCCCACCCCCCCGGGCTCGATAGCCTAACACCTACACACGCTCCAGATGTTCTACAGAAAACAAGCGGCATATTGGAAGAGGATATCCACAGTCAAAAGACTCCATGTCTGGGGGAGCTGCTGAGAAGAAGAACTCACCCCCCTTGTTTTTGAAGTATTCTGTGTCCTTCCACATCAGGGGGATCCGGATATCTGAAAAGAGGGCGAGACGGAGAATCTGCCACCCCCGCACACAACCAGCAACGCCCGGAAGAAACACTGGAAGGTGCAGCCTTCGCCCTTCCTTGTTCCCTTCCGTCGCATTCCAAACTCCTCCACCCAGGGGCTGCTTTAGATTTTTGAACTAGTTCCACTTTAGCTGCAGAAATATTCCAGCAGCCTCCGATCCCCGGACTTTAGGCCAAGCGTGCAGATTCCCAAAAGGCTGGGGAGCGGGGCCGTCGGGCTCTTCCCTTAACAACTGCAAGGATCCAAAACCCTCCCGTGTTCCCCACAGAACACTCACTGAGACTGCCGTAACCACTTCTACGCAGTCTGAATGCAGGGCCAGTTTTTAGCAAAGCCTTTTGCCACGAGGGCTGCTAGAAGGGGGTCTGTTTGACACGAGCCTCCCCCCTGCCCAGGAGACTGAAGAGGTGTATCTGAAAAGAGGGCGAGACGGAGAATCTGCCACCCCCGCGCACAACCGGCAACGCCCGGAAGAAACACTGGAAGGTGCAGCCTTCGCCCTTCCTTGTTCCCTTCCGTCGCATTCCAAACTCCTCCACCCAGGGGCTGCTTTAGATTTTTGAACTAGTTCCACTTTAGCTGCAGAAATATTTCAGCAGCCTCAGTTCCCCGGACTTTAGGCCAAGCGTGCAGATTCCCGAAAGGCTGGGGAGCGGGGCCGCCGGTCTCTTCCCTGCCGTGTTCCCCACAGAACACTTATTGAGACTGCAATAACCGCTTCTACACAGTCTGAATGCAGGGCCTTTTGCCACGAGGGCTGCTCGAAGGGGGTCTGTTTGACACAAGCTTCCCCCCTGCCCAGGAGACTGAAGAGGTGGGCCAGCACGTCACATCCTGAGTGGGCCCCCAGCTCCTTACCTGAGATGCAGACTCTGCCCCGGCAGGGCAAACGATCATCCATAGGGCCAGCATCGGAAGGCCTGGGAGACAGAAAGAGAGCCACTGTCAGGCACCCTGGGAGAAAACGTCCCCTCCCTGGAGACTCCATCCTCCACCCAAACACACAACTGGCTGGGCCAGGTTTAGAACTAGGACTCGATGACCCTGGAGGTCCCTTCCAACGTGATGGTTCTGTGGTCTTCCGTGGGAAAACTTGGGACAGAAAATGACAAAAAGGTTAGGAGGGGCAGCACGGCACCCTCTGCAGCATTTGGCAGCTAAAATGTTCCAAGCCACTGTGGCAGTGGCGGCGGCTGCACTTTCTGGACTCAGAGATTGAGTAGCGCCATTATTCTGGGATCTGCCTTTCAAGTGATATGACTGACAGATTTGTCAAAATTGTTTGACTTCGTTTTTAGAGAGGCCTCATCTGGTCATTTCAGCTTTTGATGTGAATACAGAACGTGTTCCTTTCAAGGAATATTTCTCCTGCACTTTCCCACCCAAGACCGCTTTCAGAACTTAAAAGGAAACAATTAACAACTGCAAGGATCCAAAACTGAAATTGGCCGCAGCAGCTGCAGCTGGAGATCCCATCCTCCTGCCGAGGGGACCGTTCGGCCGCCTTTCTCGGATGAGTTGTTGCTGGCCGGGAGAATCTTGGCCTTCCAAACTGCGCTCAGCTCCGGATTGTGTCCGCATCCCCTGCCTCCGTTTGCTAGCCTCCCCTTAGGCCTCCCCCCCCCCCACTGCTCTGTGAACTCCTTTGGGATTTCTTGTCTGAACCTGCTGCCAGGATTTCGGGTTGGCACCCTGGCCAAGTACTCCCACCTGACCAAATCCCTGAGGGAGACCTCCAAGACGGAGATGGAAACAAGGGAGGTGACTCAAGCAGAAAATGTTGTAATACTGGGTGACTTCAACACAGAATGGGCAAATCTGTGCTTTAGTCACGCTGTAGAAATGAGGGTCCTAGCTATCATTAATGGCTGCATGTTGGAACAGTTGGTCACAGAACCAACCAGAGGGGTAGTAATCCGGGACTCAGTTCTGAGCAAGTCTTGAGACTGGGTGTGAGAGGTAGCTGTTGCTGCCCTGAACAGGAACAGCTCAGCATTCATGTCAATGGAAAGTTGCCCCTGAAGTTCAAAACAATCACAAATCATTTTCAAAGAGGGAACTTTACAAATGTGAGGGGACTGGCCAGTAGGTAGTTAAAAGGGAGCATTAAGAGAGTCAAATATCTCCAAGGTGCTTGGCAGCTACTTAAAACCACACTACCAGAGGCCCAGATAGACCGGAGAGTAGCAAATGTCACACCAGTTTTTAAAAAGGGGTCCAAAGGGGAATTAACTAGCTTAAGGTCTACCCCAGGCAAATCAGGAGAGACTGTAATCATGCATCTAATTGTTAGGGACATAGAGGATCAAGACTGCTTCTACAAAGGGAAAATCACATTAGTAACAATTAACTGGTACATTTTTATATCTATTAGGATTTATTCTGCATTTGTCATATGTAATAAACAAAATGTACATAGCAATTTATCAGTGACCACCGAAAAAGGCTGTATAGGCCAAAACGCGTATAGTTGGTTGATTACAGATTTTGCTCTGGACATCTGAATCTGCTTTATCAGTTCTCAACATAAGGGGGAAATGCTCAACTGAGCTTCCTCGTATATAGCTACCATTTTAATTCTTGCTTTGTTCTCTGTTCTATTAACACTGTTGCATTGACTTCTTGATTTTAGTATTTAACTTCCTGTTAATTTTGACCTGGTTAAATGTCTCGGTTACCTAACGCGTTTTAGGGTTGGGGCTCTTTTCCCTTTTTTTTTATGGGTTCGTTCAGATGAAACATAATTCCGTATGCTATTCTCTGCTCAGTTTTCTGGTAATTTTTACTGGGTGAGCCAATTCCGGGAGACCTCCAGAAAAGGAGCACCTACGTTCTTCTAAACGATAATAAGAATTAAATGGTGGAATCAACTTCCAGAAACATGCGCAGCTGTGAAAGGGGCTTAGGCAGATTCCTGGAGGAGAGGCCCATCAGTGGCTGCTGGCCATGGCAGCTGAGGGGAACCTCCACGTCCAGAGGCAGTCAACCTCAGAATAGCAGTGCTGGGGGCGGGGGCAACACCAGGGGAAGGCCTTGGCCCTACTGCGCTAAGTGGCTGGCCACTGGGTGAACAACACCAGTGGAAGGCCTTGGCCCTCCTGCGCTAAGTGGCTGGCCACTGGGTGAAACGGGACTGGCTGGACGGGACCGGCTCTTCCAACATTCTTCCTTCTCGTGCCCCTCTGGGCAGCGGCGACCTGCTCCCTCTCGCCCACACTCACCGCCGGGCCATGCGCTGCATGACCTGGGCCTCTTTCATGCGCTGCAGCTCCGCCATGTAGGCCAGGATGCGGCTGTTGCAGACCAGCAGGCTCTTGGTGACCTCCAGGGCCTGCTCGCGCTGGGTGCAGGCCGCCAGCAGCTTGCAGGCCCCCTCGCGCATGCGGATCTCGTGGTCGATCTTCTTCTGGATGTCCGTGCCCTGTGTGTGGGGGGGACAGAAGCAGCAGCCCTGGAGTCTCGGGGGGCTGAGGGCTGGCCGGGGGTAGAGAGGTAAAATTTCCAGAAATGTTGAAGCTCGGAAAAAAACCCAGTTTTTTTCGGGGGGAAATGGAAATTTTCGGAAAAATTGAAAAACATGCTACATTAGCACTTCTTTTTTCTTTTCCATATTGAAAGTCATTCTGTTACTTTAGGAACAAAAAATGTGACTATGGACATTTTTACTTGGCATGAAATTATTACAACTAGCATATTAAAAATATAGTGTATCCAAACAATTATTACAAACAGAATACACACCCACATGCAAAAACAAAACTGAAACCTTTTTCTTTTCTTGTGACAACAGCACCCCCTAAAGGAAGAAATGCATCTTGTTCTTGCATTGGAGAGTTCAGTTTGTAACCTAGGACTTGCTTGTCCTCAGTGCACAGAAATTAGATCAATTGAACACCTTGTCTAAAAATATTTTAATCATCATGTTAAAATAAAACGTTCCATAAACAATTTTTTTCTTTTCTTTTTTCAATTTTTCCAATTTTTCAGACAAAAACAAGAAAGACTTCAGGAAAAAAGGGGGGGTTAGACACAAGAGAGAGAGACGATAGACAAGGGACTGGAGGGGGCGGCGAGGATGCAGCTGAGACAGGGGCTCCCTTGCTGTCCCCCCCCCGCAGTTTTTAGCCACACTGAGAATCAAACAGCTATCAGGACAGCCCCTTTTCAGCAGGGCCCCCCCCCGAAGGCAGGCACATGGGAAGGCGGACCGGGAAGACAACCGGCCCTCAGAGGGCGGCTGAGGAAAGGGAGGGAGCAACATCACCAGGGGTGCAGCGACATAAAGGAGAAACCCCCCCACCCCACCCCCGGTGCTGGTCAGGACAAAGGGAGGTCCTGTGTGTGGGAGAAGCAGCAAACACCCCCACCCCCACCCCCGGTGAAGCCTGCCAGGTCTTAACAAGGCAGTCTGCTCAGGGGTGAAGTGGCCATGACATCAACCGACGCACCTGTGCCTGAGCATGTGCAGAGCAATGTTCCCTCTAAGCTGTGGAGCCCTGTGAGCAAAAATTCTACTTTGTGAGCTACTGGCATCAAAACTGTGAGTGAGCGATTTGGCTGCCGCATAAATCAGTTCGCTCTGGAGCCCTCGCAAAAAATATGAAAAAAAAGCGGGGGGGGGGGGGATAACTCCAAGCCCTGATTCACCAGGAAACGTGGATGTCATAAGGGGAAGTCTTTTGAGGAGCCCCCCCCCCTTCAGCCACCGCTGCCCACGGAGCAGGAATCTCAGCTTCGCCCACCAACACGCCCTGCCATGCGTGTGTGCGTGCACGTGGTGGTGGTGGTGGGGCATACCCAGCATTTAATCTGTGGATACGAAAGGGCAGACTGTGGGTGAAAAGGGGCGCAGGGGGCCTGAGCCAATTCGGGCGGGGGGGGGCAAAGGGCATCCCACAGAGAGCCACCCTCAGACCGCACGGCATCACAAGGCAAACAAACATGTGCAGAGTGCCTTCCCCCAGGCCAGAGGGGCCAACTCTGCCAGCATCACCCCCACCCCACCCTCGCCACTGCCCACTGTGTGCCAAGGGAGGCAGGAGGAGAGCCGGCTCTTCCCCGGGGTGTGTATGGGTGGGTGGTCAGGGTCTCTCTCTCCGATGCTTCCGGGACCCTACCAGGTTTGCCCAGGCTCACCCCTTATCCTGGGGGTTGGGTGGGGTGGGGCTCTGGAAAGGATGCCCCATAAGCAGCGCTGGAGGCAGGACTCCTCTTCACTGCCTGGCATGAAAGGACAGTGAAACGGCGGCGGCGGGGGGGGGGAGAGATGCCCATCT